TCGTAAGCCAGGAAAGACTGGGAATAGGGTTATGTCTATGGGAAACAGCGCCAACGGCAATGAGTGTTACACTGATGGATGACCTCGTGCCCCTGGAAATGGCAGTGCCCACAAAAGCTGCTCAGTGGAGCCTCCTTCGAGTGAAACCTGTCACAACTTAGATACACCTCTGCTGAGGAGGAAGGCTGGCTACTGGCAGTGAGGTGTTCCACACATGACTCTGAGACAGAAAGAAGGTAGTCGTGGAAAAACTAGAGAATTTTGTTTTAAAGTATAGAGTTTAGTTGACAAGACAGAGAGAGCTACATTGGCCTAGTGGGCAGAAAGTTATGGTACCAAGCCCAAGGTGGGTGATTTTAATCTGCAGCCCTCAGGCCTGGTTCAAATTGTTTTCCTGTCAAACATTCTTCTAGGTGGTATAGCACTGGTCTGTACATTGCTGTACAGAGGTAACTCGTGGTTGCTGTGCAGACATAACTCGTGGTTGCTGCGAAGCTAAACACTGTGACGCTGATGTGTCAAATGTGATAATGGTTACCCATGGTGGACAGTGTCTGGTGGAGCTTCCCAATTAAAACAAGCTTGGAAGCAGGAGTGGCATCCACTTCCGAAACGGCTTGCCTCTGGAAACTCTATGAACAGTGCTCAGGCCTTTTGTTCATAGGGTCGCTATGAGTCATCTACAACTCGACAGCACCTAACAATAATAACAACAAAGAGTTTAGTTAACCGCGTGTACCACTGCTGGTTTTGCCACCTGTCTTATGGTAATTGTGGTATTTACGGTACTTGTGACTTTATTAATACGGCTCCTGTAGCCATTGTTTTTGTTGTTGAGGACTGTCAAGTAAGAACTGACCTGACCTTCCAATGGGTTTTCAGAGGCTGCATCATCACACAGGAGGAGATTGTCAAAGCTTGGCTCTCCTTGTGGTCCTTCAGTCCTCTGTGGACACTGCACCACAGCTGAGGGTCTCTCTGACCAGTCCTGCATCCTTGCCTCTCCACAAGGACCAATCCCGAGAATGTTCCATGCAAACTCAATTCATACTAGTCTCCATCAGCACCTGCTTCCCAGGGAACTGGAAAGACCGTGAAGCTTCAGACTTGCACCCTCAGAATAACTTCATTTTACAAGTGAAACAATTGAGGCTGGCAGAAGATAACGGATAAGATCAAGGATATCCAACTGAGGAATTGGGGAGCCACAGAAGAAGGCTTCTGTGGGCTTAAGTCACTCAGCACGGGACTGGGAAGCAGGAAGTGCTTGATACCCATGAGCTGAGACAGACAACAGGCAGTGGAGTCTTGATGGTGCCATGATTAAGTACTTATCTGCTAACTGAAAGGTCAATGGTTCAAATCCACCCTAGTGACTCCAAGGGGAAAAACACGTGGCAGTCAGAGTCTATGACAATGACAGCCTTGGAAATCCTAGTAGGGGGTTCTGCTCTGTCCTGTGAAGCTACTGTGAGTCAGAAGCATCTTCTCAGCTTAAAGTTGGCCAGTTTAAAACCAGGATTTGGCCCAAGATCTGCCTATCTCTGCGTAGCACGTGCTCCCAGACCAGGCCATTCAGCACACCAAGACTGCTCTAGGTACCAGGACAGGAAAGTGCCTTTCCCCACCATCCTGACACATCCACCGCTGCTTCGGTGGCTCGTTCCAAAGCTGCGCTTCCTCGTTGCAAAGTGGAACTGATAACAATCCCTCCAACATAGGGATGTTATACAGATTGAATGAGTTAATGCATGGAAAGCCCTTAGAAGAGCCCCTGGCACACAGAAAGACCTATTTAAACATCAGCTTTCAAACACATCACACCGGAGAGCTCTGATGGCCTAGTGGCAAGAAGCTTCACTGCAATCTCAAAGGCACAATGGTTCGGATCCAGCAGATGCTCCACTGGAGAAGGAGGGGTAATCTCCTGTGCCTGTTGGATCCGATTTGATTTGCTGGTACACAATAATAAAAACAAATTTTAAAAAAAATCACACAAGCAAAGAGAAGCTACAACTGGACACACTCCTAAGAAAGGAGAGACCCAAAGGGTTGAGTGACAATCTGCCTGTGATGGGGGTCCTCCTCTGGGATCCAAAGAAGCCAGGTCTGACCACAGCACTGAAGCAGCTCACGGGGCAGCAAGAGGAAGAAAGAGGAAGCTAGTCAGAAGGGACAATATGCACAAAAAAAGGACAGAGTGAAGGCGAGACTGGCTGGCAGAGAGAAAATCCAGGTCCAGAGGAAGAAAACAAAGCTGGACAGAAAAGTAGAAATCAGATGACGACGCACCATTAGCTGTCTGGAAGCTCTGAGGCAAGTCACCTGACCTCGCCTAGGCTCGATCACCACATTGACAAAATAGAAACAGGGAGTCAATACCTGCTAAGCACTTAAAACAGCGCCGTCTGCCCTCTGCCCGGGGCGGGCTGCCCTTGGCCCTCTGTCCGGGGCGGGCTGCCCTTGACCCTCGTCTCGGGGTGAGCCATCGCAGCCCTCAGGATGAGCTCCTCAGTCCCCAGTTTGTGCCATTGTCCCCAGATTGACCCCTGGGTGGGGAAGGAGGGGAAAAAAATAATGCCTAGGGTATCCAATGTTACCTAGGCCACCTTCTGCCACCCTCCCCCCCAGTAAACCTGAAAGCAACACTCTCAAAGCCCTTCTATTTGTAACTCACAAGTTTGTTCTCTCTAGGTTTGCTCCCTTTCCTATAGGTAACCTTAACTCTGAGTTTTACTCCAGAATTACCCTGAACCCAGTGCCAGTGACAAAAAGGAAATACAACTGACAGCTAAGGAAGCAAAGGAGGATGGAGCCTCTGGGTTCAACCAGCCCATCCACACTGGACCCACCTGGGAAAACACTTTGCAGTCCAGAGGGGAGCAAATGACAGGAAAATATCTTCTAACAGAGCTAGAAGGCAAGCAGCTTTAACCCAAGACCACCAGTAAGGTGATAAAGCGTCCTCCCTTCCCCCCTTTACATCTACGCCCCTGTTCAACATGAAGAAGCCAGAGAGTCGGCATCCAATTCCCAAATCAATAAGACAGTTGGTTTAATTACCATTGGAAAATGCTTGTCATTCCTCTGTAGCATCTGGTTCCCACTGGACCATCATCATTTCCTTCACCTGCTCCCCCCACCGACCAAACTGTGCAGCTCTGCAACTGCATCCTGGCCCGTCCTCACCCTTCTGCCCCCAACCCTCACCTCCTTGTACCCCCAATATGTTTTTCCCAATAAAAAAAGAGAGAGAAAGAGAAAAAAAAACAAACCAGTGCCGTCTAAATGGGCAAATAAGCAAAAGACCTGAATAGACATTTCACCCAAGAGACCATTCAAATGGTCACCGAACACGTGATAAGGTGTTCAGCATCTTTATATACCAGACAGGTGCAAATCAAAATTGCCATGAGGTACCATTCCGTTCCTACAAGGATGGCTAAGATTCTTTTGTTTAAAAAATGCAGAAAATAACATTGATGAAATTGAAGGGGATCTTGAACACTTTTCCATTACTGGCCTAGTGGTAAGGAGTTGGGCTGCCAACCCACAGGCAAGTAGTTCAAATCCACCAGGTGCTCCATGGGAGAAAGATGGCCAATGTCCTTCTGTTTGATTTACTGTCTCTGAAAACCTGCTGAAGGGTCACCTATGAGTTCATCCTGACTTGACAGCACATAACAATAACAACAACCCATTGCTTCTCAGGAGAGAATATGAAATGGTATAGCAGTTATTCAAAACTGGATAGCAGTTCTTAAAAAAAAAAAAACACAAAAAACCAACAAACCTCTAAAAATAAAACACCATATGAGCCAGAATTCCAGTTCTAACTATGTTACATCTATTATGCTGTTGTCGTTATGTGCCATTGAGTCGCTTGCAACTCATGGCAACCCTATATGTACAAGAGCTCTGAACCCTGCTCTATCCTGAGCCAACCTCATTGTCTCTGACACACCTAGCTCCATTACCCAGCCACTGAGTCAATCCATGTCATCGAGGGTCTTCCTCTCTTGTGCTGTCCCTCCACCCTCCCAAGCATGATGTCCCTCTCCAAGGACTAGTCCCTCCTTGCAAAATGCCCAAAGTACATCAGATGGAGCTTCAAAATCCTTGCCTCCAAGGAGCAGCCTGGTTTCACCCTCTCCCAAACGAACCTGTTTGTTCTCCTAGCGGTCCATGGTATAGTGAACACTCTTTCATAAAGTCTAGAAAACAGAACTCAAACAGATTCTTTTTTTTTTTTAGAACTCAAACAGATTCTTGAGCACAACGCAGCACTATTCATAACAGTCAAAAGATGGAAACAAGCTAAATGTCAGCAGATTAAAACAAAACAAACAAAAAGAAAAATTACACACTGAATGGAATACCATGAGGACTGCGGAGAAATGAAGTCTTGCTACATTATACAATAAAAATGGATGTCAATGCTCAACACAACTCATTGTCACCGAGCCAGAATTGACTCTTAACTGACCCGCTACTGCGTTTTCAGAAGCTAAAAACCACACATGAGGAGACTGCCTGTCTTTCTCCGGTGGAGCCACTGGTGGCTTCAAATTGCCAGGGAAGTGCTGCCTTTGGGTTGGAACTGTCTATGGACTACACCACCAGGAGCGGGTTTCAGGTGGATGGACTGTTGACTGGGACTCTAATAGGTGACAGAATGGATAAGCAGTGGGTGACTGGATGATCAGGCCGCGCTGGGTGATGGGAACAGCTCAGTAGATGGAACTGATCAGGTACATGAAAAAAATGGATGGGTAAGGATTGGCTAAAAGGAGCACTTGGGTCAATGTGGGTGACTGATAAATGCGAGAATAGTGGGTGGTTCAATGAGCGTTTGAAAAAGAAAGTTGGAATGGATGCAGGGGCATGACATGGTTCGGTGGCGGGATGGTTGTTCCAGCGGGTATTAGAAAGCGTGGGTGAACGGAATGCTTATGTGAATGGAGAGCCTGGTTGCTCGGGCCCACCCCTCCGGGTCCTACCTGGAGGCGGCGATCTCCGCCTTCTGGCGCGCTATGGCGGCTGCGCGCTGCGCGCCCTCCACGCTGTGCTCCACCTTCTGACGCACCTTGTTGTTCTTGAGCGGCAGCACGCGGCGCTTGGTGCCCTTGACCAGCACGTTGTGGCGGTACTTGCCCTCCTCGCGGTGGCCGCTGGGCAGCGTGGTGCAGCCATAGCCGTGGCGCAGGTTGTCCAGCCACTCGCCCTCGTAGCGGAGGCCGCTGGAGCGCTCGCTCACGCCGAAGCCCGAGCGCTTGTCGTTCTTCCACTCGCCCATGTAGGTCTCGGTGGTGGTGGCGTCGATGTCGGCCTCGAAGGGCGCCGCGTCGTCCGCGCCCTCGGCGCCCTCGCCCAGGCTGGCGGTGGAGGCGGCGTCGCTGG